TACCCATCATGTGATGTGCACGGAACTGACCCCGCCTAACCGGCTCTACGGCACGCCCACACACTCGCCACACACGCGCCCGCGCGCGCGCGCGCACACACACACACACACACACAGGCGCGCGCTGCCCTGCCTATGCGACTTTTAATAACAGCGCGCATCACGTGAGCGAAGGCCGTCGCATTAATGCTTGTCCGTCCGCTCGTGATAAAGTGATTCTCATTATGGGCGTCATGGTGATGAGACACGCCAATGTGTAGTCGATGCCGTGTTCTCCATTTCTCTCTCTCCATCCCTTACTCTCCAAATCCGCCGCAAATCTCCACAGTTTTCATTTTATTTATTTTTTTGTGCCCATCGGTGTGAATCGACTTTCAATAACACGTGTACTGCATGTCATGTGTCATGTCATGCGCTCGGTGACGTGGAGGAGCAGCCCGGGAGGGAAGAGTGTTGCCGCGCACCCCCGCCCCGCGGGCTGTGCCGTGCGGCTGTGCAGTCAGTCCCTTCGCCACCCGCCGTGCCCCGTCAGGTGCACTGAGCGGTCACCACAACACAATTACAGCGGTCCGGGGTCAGTGTTTTGTTTACTCGCATGAGGGGATAATATGCACGGAACTCTAGGAAAAAATTAAACTTTCGGGCCACCGTTTGTCAATTTCATATTCCCACTATACCCTGGAAGTCTTGCTCATCGCTCTTCCTTTGGCACAATCCCTGCCCATCGCTGCTCCTGCTCCCCGCTGTCGCTGCGGCGGGCGAGGGAGGCTTGCTTGGATGGAGTGCTGAGTGTCCTGGCCGCGCCCCATTCGTCTTAAGCCGCCCCCGGCTCGCCCCCGGTGGTGTGGTGACTCTGCCGTGCTCCCCTCCCCCGCAGCAGCGCCTCGCAGCGCCCTGCTGCCCGTCGGTCCGTGATGGAATTAACGCCCAAGCGTGCCCTGCCGGGGCCCTGCCGGCCCTGCCCTGCACTACATTGCTCGTTAATTTGGCGGAGGTTTCCGAGAGGTTTCGCTGCTCGGCCCGAGGGTGAAAGGGGAAGGGGGGGAGGGACTCATTCTAGTCTTGATTCGCTCGTTTTTCGCTCATCTCCCCCGCCGCGCCGCGTCCCGCCCCACCCGTACGAGCGGATAATTCGACGAGTGGAACACATGCTGAGCTCGGCAAGAGGGAGGGTGAGTGCGGGGGCTGCGCGTAAGCACTGGGAGGCACATGCCCGTTACAGAACACGCGGGATCTGCACGATGTAGTGATCAAACTTAACCAAATAAATACATGCGGGCCGGGCGTAAAGCCAAGACGACAAAAAACAGCAACACCACTCGGCCACACCATAACTGCGACCGCTAACGGGGTGCGCAATGTTGGCTTGGTGTCGGCCGCACATAACCGCTCGTAACGTAACAGAGGTGTTCAAACTGCTGCCTTGTTGGCCCCGCGCTAGGCGCTGCGGTTGGGGCGGCAGGCCCGCGAGGATGCAGGAAGGCCGCTCAGCTGGCTGCTGCTGTGCGACCTTTGTATGGTAGTTGCCGTAGTAACACGGGCGATGCCCTTCCCTTCGTTTTTTTTAGGGGCTTTCTCTTTTTTGCGGCGAGGAGGCTCCTTTGATATCATCTGAGAAGGGTTTTGTGACGCAACGCAACGTCCCGGGCCGGAGGGCAACGAGACGCTTGTTGTTGTTACACCAACTAGATGTGGACCGAGCCGGGCCGCGGGCCGCGGGCGCCGCACCTCCGCCACCGCCCGTTGGCCCGTTTCACAACAGCGAATCCAAACATTGCGGTGTGATCATCTTTCCGCTTGGGGTGCGCTTTTGCTATGGCCGGGGCTTCCGCGACTGACTGGCTGGGCCATGACCCCCCACCCCACCAGCTGGCATGCTCTTTTCTCCCTTACGGCGGCGGCAGTCAACTCAATTTTTCGCCTCAGGAGCGACGACAAGACCTCCACCTCCTCCTGCTTCCGCAGTGCATTCGCCTCCCCGCCGGCACCGGGTGCGCCTGTCCCCGCCGCGCCCAGCCCAGCCCAAACTCACTTTCAACAGCCACCCCCCGCTGCGCCGAGTGCACCCACCCCGGCCGGCCCGGGCGAAAGTGAATGGCCGGAGACCAGCCCCCCTCCCCCCCTGTCCCCGCCGCTCACTCTCGCTTCCGCCCACGGCCCCGCCGCGCCGGCCGCCCCCACCGCCGGTTGTGATCAATATTCATTCAAGTTGCCTAACGCGCAGGGGCTGCGGCCGCCTCGCCCGCCCGCCACCCCTCCGGGGGCTCCCTTTTGTTTCACCGAGCCGAGTGTGTTTGTTTACGTTCTCTTGCACCCTGCTGCCTTTTAGAGGAGGAGTTTGTTTCTTTATGCAGGGCGTTTCTCTCCTTTTTCCGCTCTCTTGTGTCTGCTCCGGGTAAAGAGAAGGGTGGTCGTTTTTTTTTTACTGTGGGAAAACGTCGTTGTAGTACAGAGGGGAGAAATAGTACGTGATTTGGACCGTCGTCGGGGCTTGGCGGGGCGTGGCGTGGCGGGCAGCAGGTTCCGTTGGAGCCGCGCGCCGGCCGGTGCGATCCATCAGCCGCGCGCTGCCCTCCTGTCTCCTTGTCGTGTTTTGGCGTCCTGTTCGACGTTTTCCTGATCTCGATTCTCGCCTCTCCTTTCTCTTTATTTATATTCCCCCAATCTGGCGTCGCTGGCCCATGGCTGACGGCGATAACTGGTTCAGCTCAAATAAAGTGTTTAAGGCCGCGACGAGCGGAGCGGAGCCCGTGTGTTGGTTGCAATTAAAAACTCGTCCCGTCTGCCACACGCAGAAAAATGAGTTAGCTATTTTACCTAATTGTTGGTAGCTGGCACCTTTTAGCTATCGAGCTAAGTGTATTAGCTACGCACCTAAATATTAGCTTAACTGCTAATAAAAGTTAGCTCCATACAGCAATTAAATTGGCTAAATATTAACAATTTGGCTAATTTGGTTAGCTCTTGTGCTAATCTCTGCGAAGAGGTTGTAAAACATTAACACT